TATAGACTGGGAAGGTAATAGGCACCCTCTGGGGAGACGACGCGGTGATTTTCAGTCGATAATTGATGCTCAACGGACGTTTTAGCCGCTTGCAATGATATTTGATTTAAACCGAATTGGACAGTACTCATTTGACCCTCGAATAGTTAATGCGACTCATAAATTATTTTAAAAAACATACCTTTCCCTTTTTCACATGTTGTAGTATTCCTAGATATGCTTCTTTGCGACTTTACCTTCCACATCGTTAGTTCTTGTTGTAATTTCTAGCTGATTTTTACATACGTTATAAACATGATAGGATTAATCGTTTTGGTGCATTGACGCTCCCCAATCGGTAAAGTGATTCGGTTTTACCTTGGGGCTCACTCTACGCCCCCCGTCAGCTGTCGTGCAGCAGCTGGTCGTATAAGCAGATGCACATTGGCAAGAAAGGGATAAGTGATCATTTCTGGCTCATTATCCGTCCTGCCTAACCCCCAAGTGTCGCACCACTCACAGCTCGATCCCTCTAGCCCACTGTGCCAGTGATCGTTGTCTTTCTGGTAAAGACACTGTTCCCTCGCCTAGAAAGTACCTATAACGGGCAGACAAACCCACCGAAAATGTGTTTAAGAGAAACAAAGGCTCGTAACTACATACTATTATATTCACAACATGTAAGCTAGCACTGCATTGACGTGCACCCCAATGGGTGGCTTGCATTGGTCATCCACTAATGGGTGAGGTATAGGAGAGCCATGTTTACAAGAATGAGGGCCGCCGAGAGTGACACCTCTATGGCTGCACCGCCTGCCCCTGAGCCGGTTTTCGGGTTGAAGGTAACTGCAATTTTATCTGCCAGCGTCAGAGTGCGCGGTGCCTCTTTCATGTCAACAGTAACATCAACGGGATTTGCCTCTAAAACGTAAAATTATTGATTGATTATTGGCATAAAACAAACCAAGCACAGTCAATGCATGCACGCATAATTTTAAATGTCCGTCTTACCGCTAACAACTGTTAGACAATTTGACCCTTTGCCTTTTTTACAGGTTGCATCGTTTGCTGCAGGTGCATTCGGACCCTTGTCTTCTCCAGTCATAGCGGCTACTTCCTATGTTAAATTAAATTGTTGTTATATTCGAGAGTAGAATTAAAAGAATAATCCCGAAATGTCGGGATGAGTGCTAATCATTTTTTGGCTTACCGTTGGTACAAAGTCAAGTGGGAAATTCTC